CTTTTTGATTGGATACGGATTGGGATCACCTTGTATAGTGAACCCCGTGCCCCAGTTCAGCACCTGCTGCTCTGGCAGCGTTGCAAAGAGGCGCTGGAGGGGTTCGGCCCCGACGGCCTCAAGCCGGTTTCCCCTTTGCCCCCAGGTGATGGGCCACCCCCCCTCCTACCCGCAGCTGACCCTCCCTGCGCCGCCGCCCACGGCGGCTCCCCCCTGCCCACCGGTCGGGAGGGGGAGCGCTGTCGCCGCGGCGGTGCAGCCAGCGCGTGAGGCCGGTCTCTTGACTGACGAGGAATCCAAGTGTGGGTTCGAGGCGTTCCCCGTCTCTTGGCGGGATAATGGAAATGGGGGGCAGATAGTGGACTGGGAGGCTCTCCCCTACTCGGTTCTGCGCTAGCTCCGCAAGGCGGTTCGTGAGACCAGGGTGCGGTCCACTTTCACCCTGGGGATCATGGAAGGTGTGTCAAACAGTTACTTCTTGCTCCCCCAAGATTGAAAAGACATGTGTCGCGTGGTGCTGTCTACCGCGCAATACGTTGTGTGGGATAGCGAGTACCAGCGAGAGGCGCTTGCAGCAGCAGCACAAGGTGGGGGGGCCTATCTCGCTGAGCAGTTATATGGCACGGGGCAGTTTTTGGGCATCCCCGAGCAGGCGGTAGGCACGCCCCGGGCAGCTTTTCCCATCATTGGCCAGTGTGCCCGTCGCGCGTTTCGCAGGGTCCCCGCTGCGGGCGAGTCCTCTAAGTCCTTCGACCCTGGCGGAGTTGCTACAGGCGTGTGCGGACGTAAGCACCCCAACCCAAACGCATTTACTGCCTCAACGATCAGCCGTTCGAGGGTGTTATTGACTCTGGGGCAGACGTCACCGTCATTGCCGCCGCGCAGTGGCCCGCCCATTGGCCCACGGAGAAGGCTCCAGCGGTTTGGGGTGTGGGCAGGGTGCAGGACTCACAACGAAGAGCCCGATGGTTGGAGGTTAGGGCGCCCCAAGGCATCCGCCGCGCCCATATCCGGCCTATCATTCTCCCCGTCCACCTCAACCTGTGGGGCCATGATTTATTAACACAGTTCACTGCCACCATCCATATTGATGATTAGGCGTACGGCCCTCCCCCTCCGTTGGCTCACTGACGAGCCCGTATGGGTTGCGCAGTGGCCGCTTCCTCTGGACAAGCTGGAGGCCCTCCAGCACTTGGTCAATGACCAGCTACGGGCAGGGCATTTGGAGGAGTCTACTAGCCCCTTTAATACCCCCGTGTTTGTAAGCACAAAAGAAATAGTTACACCTTGTATAGAAATTAATGTGGTTAGTGTTGTGGAAATTGAATTGTGGAGAGGATGTGCATTTTCCCCAGAACATGTGCAGTGTATATTGTAGCAGAGGTAAAGGAAATGCAAACCTACCAATATAGATTGTGTTGTCTTTTTCAGATCACTGTGTGTTTAAAAGCAATGACTGACTACCCAGAAGGTTAGACCTCTGTTCTTTTGTCTTTCAGATTATTAGAGAAAATGGATGCCAGTTGAACAGCATTCAATGTACCATGCATTTACTGGCACAATAGGAATTATTTTTGTGTTTTATGGCCAAAATTGTTGTTAAAATTTGCATACCAACAGTCTTTGGAAGCAAGGACATGGAAGGTTAACCCACTCCCCATATTGCCCATGGGATCCTTCTGGCTACCTCAGATTTCTAGCCAGAGGGCTGGGGAGGGAGGAAAGCTATTAGACACCTGAGGTTGTACCGAGTGAACTCCTCAAAAGTGGGTGTGCTTGTCCTGGTTTGTTGCTCCAAAGCTCTGTAATAAAGTTATTTTACTGGAAGGGTGTACATGGCATATATTGAATAATAAGACTAATGTACTGTATAAAGACAATGTGTATGTGTTCATTGTTGGGAAAAGGTGTATGAGTGAAGAGTGGAAGTTTCCTTTGTAGGTTAAAAGAAGCTGAGAAAGGAAGAAGAAGAAAAAGCACAGAATGAGTTAACAGAGGAAAATACAGCTAGCAGGCTCATCCAAGGCCACAGCCAAAATTTGGCTGACCCCCAAGAAAAAGGGGGGGGGCTTGAATGTGCCCAAGCAGCTGTAAAATCTGCAAAACACTGCCAGGCATTAATGAAATGTGTTAGGTTTTTCTCACAGGTAGAGAAGTGCTACCCAAAGATCCTAGCACCCCCGCCATTAATTAAAACCAGGAGACTGAGTCTATGTAAAGTCCATCAACGAAAGACTGCTTTGGCTCCATGCTGGAAAGGCCCTTTCCAAGTCCTGTTAGCCACCAACACCGCTGTGAAGTGCCAAGGACTGACTGCCTGGACCCATGCTTTTCACTGTAAAAAGACCCCTCCACCTCGGGAGGACTCTCTGACTGATGATTAGCCTGTTTCTTCTTCTAGCTCTGCTGTGCCTTCTGGACGGCAGGAAAAAGGGAAAAAAGACAAGGTGAAGTGCTAGTAACCTCTCCCTTGTCCACTAATAGACCTACTGTGCCTTTGAATTTTTTTAGAAGACACAAAACCATTACAGGGTGATGTGTTAGTAATCTCTCCCCTGTGTGATGCTGAACCATGACTGTTTCAGGAAAAGAGAAGAAGGAACACTTGCTTCATTGAAACCACAAAGTCCAGGGATTCCTGACTACAAGAGACATTAAGAACTGACCCTGGTGAAGAAACAAAGAATTATACACTGGCAGGAAGAAATTTGTGGGACCCATGTTTGGGAACGTGGTATTGATTGGATTTTGGGGTTTATTCTACAGGCTGCGCCCTGTGTTTTGGATAAGTCCTTCAGCATGTATTACCCTCCCTAATTGGATTTTAAATGATAAGTACCAAAGGTACCTTGTTGCCATTGCCCCTGCCATCTCCTTTATAACACTATTACCCCTGTAACACATCCAAATACAGACTATGACCCAGAAGTTGCTGACAGAGATGGTATTGAATATCACTGAGGCTGGGAAGGCATTGCAGTGGGATCTAGCATGTTCAGAGATTCAGGATTTCCTGAATGACTAGCTAATGGCCATTCGAAATGATCTAGAGCATCAGGCTTGGCCCACTGCCCTTACAGACTCATCAAGAGTACCATCTGATCTGTGGCCATGGAGACATACTTAGAGGCTTTCTAGGTAAAAGTGCAAATGTTCTCAGTGCTCCTTCCAAGCATATGGACCAGTTGAGGGGGTGTGGGATCCCACATACCGTATCCTGCCGGGTCCATGGGGAGGATGCATGTAGGATTGGGTAATTCACCAAGACATCTGGGAAATTAGACTATCTGGTATGCCTAATTGATTTTAGTAAGTGCTCCGGAGATTACATCTGACATTTGGATGGGGTTAGGGAGTCAATGGACATTTTGGCCATTAGAACCCCCACAGCTTCAGTGTATATGTAAACTGAAGCCAGGAGAAGTTGTCACTGTTTATGACTACGTTTGCTGGAAGGGTAGGGGCCAAGGAACTACCCTGACAGGACACTTACTTTTTCAAGCTAATGATAGCTGTGTGTATGTTAATGACACCACATTACAAGATATGCATTTTAATCTTACTACCACTGCAGGCAATTACTGGCCTGCAGATAGAGTTAAGTATAATGTATTGTACTTTGTGACATTGTTAGCTTGCCTTAATGCTAACTCACTTCTTATTTTGTGTGTATTGGGGAGTTTCCTGTTGGCCCCTGGTTGCCAAGGCGAACCCCAGATGGAGCAGCGGCTGCAGTTTAACATTTGGGTCCACCTGGCACAAGTATTGAATCAATCTGATTTCTGCCTGGCCGTTGCCCGGGACATGCAAGGTCTGTTAAGTACCTGCCTTGTTCCTGTCTGCAAACCACCCAGCAACATCTGGGGTGTGAGACAGTAAAAGAAATGTGCTGTTTTAAGCTTACTGATAATAGTTTTGCATGTAATAGCAAATTGATATGTTGAAATGTTATGCTTAAGCCATCCGCCAGGACGTTTTTCCTCCTTGGTGGGATTATATCTAGTCATAGCTACCCTTAGAGTGGATAAGGACCCTTTTATAGTATGGGGTCTTAGTTTTGATTTTTGATGTTTTATGTTGCTGTTTTGTTTGTGTATACCCAATCTAGTGGCATTGTGCATGCTACCCTGCGAGAGTGCTTTGTTTAAACACTGCATCTATAAAATAAAATAGGGGGGGATGTAGGGACGCATAGCTCCCGAATCGCCAGTCCACGGGCGCGGCAAACTGCTCCCATGGCAACGAGGCAGGAGTGACCTTCAATCCAGCGTTTGTGTTTGGGAAAACCTTTTGGCTGATTTGATTGTTTCCTCGCAGCTGGCATTCACGCGCTCAAGAGATGGGTTCGTTATCTTATGTGCATGTATACCGCCTGGCTTTTCTATGCGCAGGAATGTAACCACTAAGAAGAGTTGTAAACAAAGTAAGGAGAGAAATAAAAACCCCAGGAAAGTTTTCCTGGGAGGCTTTTTGCTTGAGGCTTTTAAAGCTCTCTGGCTACCACAAACCTGGTGTTCTATTTCCTTTCCTGTGTCGTCGCCACACTAGTTAACATAAATCCTTCCAAGGTGAAGAAGATCTGAATTTCTAATGCTCCTGCCCCCAAATACATAAATAAAAGATGGGGGAGAAAAAAATGTAGTGTTAAAAAAATTCAAACAAGTAGTCTTACAGGCCTTCTTTATTAATCAGAAAAAGCTCAGATTTTGCTAAACCCACACTAAAGCCCTGAAAAATGGCAATGCTGCATTTCCTTTACCCAACATGCACACATTATAAATCCTACATCCCTCCTGAAAAGTATGGTAGACTTGATAGGCCTGGCAGAGAGTTGAAGTTTGTGGCACACTGTTGGATAAAGGGGAAAAGAAAATTCAGGACACATGGATCCTTCACCACAAACGTACAGCTAGTAACCTTGAGAAACTCCTGGGGAAGATGTTGCTCCAGAAGATGTGATGGTGCCTGGCTAGAAAAATGTCTCTAAAGGGCTCATCTACACTGACAATTAACAGCGCTTCAACTTTCTCGCTCAGGGGGGTGAAAAAACACCCCCCTGAGCGCAGCAAGTTGCAGTGCTGTAAAGCGCCAGTGTAAACAGTGCCCCAGCGCTGGGAGCTACGCCCCTCGTTGAGGTGGCTTCTTTAGAGCGCTGGGAGAGCTCTCTCCCAGTGCTACACCATGACCACACAAAGCACGTTAAAGCGCTGTGGCAGTGCCAGGGTAGACTAGCCCTGACTGTAGTGCCATTCTGTTTTGACTAGTCTGAGAAGAAATTAGATCCTGGGTACTTCTCCGCTCAGCCTTTGTCCTTTTTACAGAGAGAAAAAAATGCTAAGGGATGGGTTGTTGTTGTTGTTTGTAGTTTATTTGTTTGGGAGTTTTTTCCATTTGTTGATCCAGCAAGGCTCAGCTATGTTCTGAAGGATGCAAATCAGGGCTGGATTCTATTACTGACTTTCATCACCATGGACACACACTGAGAGCCATGCAACTGACTACAAACTAATTAATGCTTCATCTAATAATTGCAACTATTTATGTAGAGGTAAACCTGAATAAACTGCTCACACTGGATAATTTACTCAGCACATTTAGCCTCTCCTACTCTTTGCAAATAATCCATATATAGAGTTCCATCTTGCTGAATCTGTTCATTCACATTAAGACTATATCTAATATTTTGAATGTAACCTATTCATGGTTTTGTGACCAAGGGATTGTTTGCAAACAATTCAATATAGCTGCTGCTTTGACTATTTGTTGCTAATAATTTACTACTCAGTCTGTGTGACTGGATACCTCTTTTACACGGTATTTTTTCTGCTCCTGCTGTGAATTTCTCCCATTCTCAATAAGCTAAGAGCTTTCAAGGTGGCAGTCGAAGGACTCCAAGAAGAATATTCAAAGAAACAAACATTTGGAAAAATATTCATAATGTTTTATCTTTTCCAGAACCTTCTTGTGAACAAAATTGAGATTTTAGGTGCTATATGTCTAGGGGTTAAGATCCATCTTTGCAGATCTTGCAATAGAGTTTTTAAGTCCCTCCTCTCAGACAGAACCTTGCATAATGCAAAATTTGTGGCACCTGCTTTTTCAGTTTGGGGTTGGCCAGGATCAAAACAATGGTGTGTCCAGAAGGATATGCAGCCATCACAACAACAGAGATTATAAATATCAAGGGGTTGCCTATAAAAAATATAAGACAGCATGATATGGACAGCCAAAAAATAAGAAACGCAGACGATAAGAAAGGTGATAACAGCTTTAATAGCACGGATATGGGCCTCTATGCTGACAGAACTGAGGCCAGTTGTGTTGTATTGCATCTGCCTTGTGTGTCTGCAAAGAGAAATGACTAACAGGATGGATGAAAGCAGGAATATTGTGACAGGAACGAGAGTGCCCAGGTTGCAGAATAAATTTAGTTGTGAATAATGCCTTTGCCAATGATTGTTCTCCTCAGTGCTGTTTCTGGGAGAGTCTCTGTGGTGTCCTAGTGGAATTCATTGTAACTATTGTAGGCTAAGGGCACAGTGGGAAGCAGCGAGGTCACCAGCGTTCCCAGGACCAGCCATGGCACCAGCCCAGAGATTCTTAGCTTCAGCCAGAGGAAGAGGGGATGGGTGAAGTTGGCAATCTTCAGACAGAAGAGAGCAAGGTGGCAAACCAGACACTGGAGTGATTTAGAAACATCCAGAGAATATTCATAATTTTGTACAGTTTTCTCTGGGAAGAACTCTTTAGACTGGGTGTCACATATAACAAAATGCCAACCATTAATTGGCACTGCAGGCAAAATCTGGTGATGCTCAGACTGGTCAGGATCAGATCGCAGGAGGACAGCTTTCCCCTTTTGACCCAGTCTGAGTAATTCACTGCCACTATTAATCCATTTCCAATTATCCCTATGAGGAACTCAGAGACTGAAATGATCATGGAGATGCTCTTCAGTAGTGTTGCTATCATGATTCCAACAATAGTATCACAGTCACTGACTTCTTTCCTGGGTTTCCACCTGGCTGACAAGTAGTTAGTTTCCTTTCAACAGTTCTGCTGGTGTTTGAGTGAGAGAAAACGACCCTTCCTGGTTCTGTTCTGCTGGTATCTGGCAGGGAGAAACGGTGCATTCTTACAAAACTGCTCTTCCAATGTCAGCCATCTATAAACAATGTTCTCCCTTTTAACAGCGACAAAAGAAGCAAAAAGAGCTAGTGTATGTTTTCCCATTTGCTGATCACCAAGGGCTCAGTTGCATGAATAGATATGCAAATGAAGGGAGAATCCTGTTACTCATTTTCCGTGGCAAGGACACCTCTTTACATTTCCCCAGCCAGAGAACTGTGGAAGCAAACAAATGATTGCTTGTGAAAAATGGCCACTTCTATATAATAAAACAATCTGTAAAGGATTTTTTAAAATATGGAGATTTGTCTTTTGTTTTATCTTTGTATTTTACTTTAGGACTGTCATCTCTGCTCTTCTGTTAGAATCATAGAATCATAGAACCGGAAGAGGTCATCTAGTCCAGTCCCCTGCACTAAAGGCAGGACTAAGTATTATCTAGACCATCCCTGACAGTTGTTTGTCCAACCTGCTCTTAAAAATCCCCAATGATGGAGATTCCACCACCTCCCTAGGCAATTTATTCCAGTGCTTAACCACTCTGACAGTTAGGAAGTTTTTCCTAATGTCCAACCTAAACCGCCCTTGCCGCAATTTAAGTCCCTTGCTTCTTGTCCTATCCTCAGAGGTTAAGAACAACAAGTTTTCTCCCTGCTCCTTGTAACAACCTTTTATGTATTTGAAAACTGTTATCATGTCCTCTCTCAGTCTTCTCTCCTCCAGGCTAACCAAATCCACTTTTTTCAAATCTTCCCTCATAGGTCATGTTTTCTAGAGCTTTAATCATTTTTGTTGCTCTTCTCTGGACTTTCTCCAATTTGTCCACATATTTCCTGAAATGTGGCCTAATCGGTGCGGAGTAGAGCAGAAGAATTACTTCTCGTGTCTTGCTTACAGTACTCCTGCTAATACATCCCAGAATGATGTTTGCTTTTTTTGCAAAAGCGTTACACTGTTGACTCATATTTAGCTTGTGATCCACTATGACCCCCAGATCCCTTTCCGCAGTACTCCTTCCTAGGCAGTCATTTCCCATTTTGTATGTGTGCAACTGATTATTCCTTCCTGAGTGGAGTACTTTGCATTTGTCCTTATTGAATTTCATCCTATTTACTTCAGACCATTTCTTCAGTTTGTCCAGATCATTTTGAATTTTAATCCTATCTTCCAAAGCACTTGCAACCCCTCCCAGCTTGGTATCATCTGCAAACTTTATAAGTGTACTCTCTATGCCATTATCTAAATCATTGATGAAGATATTGAACAGAACCAAACCCAGAACTGATCCCTGCAGGACCCCACTCGTTATGCCCTTCCAGCATGACTGTGAACCACTGATAACTACTCTCTGGGAACGATTTTTCAACCAGTTGTTTTTCTTCAGGGTCTCAGAGGTGATTATCGGGAGCTCTTACACGTTAATTAAAGGCTCAAGGGTTTTGAACCTCGAACAATGTCATCTTTCCTTCCCAATGCTCATTAAACATTGGAGTTAAACAGATGTTAACAAAAACAAATTAAATATTTGAAAGAGTCTAAGCATCCCTTCCTCTTTCAGATGCTCATCTTTTTGTGTAGTGTTTCCTGTGATGTCACCATTTCACTAGTTCTTCAGTAATAAAGAGCGTGTTTAAGGGTAGACAAAATGCAATGAAAAAAATCAAGCAGGAAAAAAACATCTTTTTTTTAAAACAACAAGCAAAAAAACCCTGTCTGGGCCTTATTTATACACCACACTGATGTAAAAAAGGGCACAAGATCAATTTTGCATTTCCTCTGCGAGACACCTTTAACATAACTAACCGGACATAAACTGGACAAAAACAGTAGACCACCTTAAGCACTTTGCCAGACATTGATGCAGTGGTGATCAATTTGCAAGGAGGCCACATCCCATCGGGATTTGCCGTGATATTGACAATGATTATTTAAGGTAATAATACATAAAAATAACAAAGAGTATAATTTTGAATCTAAATTGAGAGTTAATTCAAGTTTCTAAAAAGAATGTGAAGGGTCATGTTTTATAATCCCTGGAAAGGAGAGAAATTGGCTTCTAGGTGAGATTGGGGTCTAGTATTAGGCACAAGGATTGATGTAATTGGCAAAATTTTCAACTTGGCCTCCAATTCTGTGTCTGCAAATTCCAGCTGCAAATATTTAACTGGTTTATTTCTTATCCCTTCTCCCTAGATGCATTCAAAGTAGCAACCAACTTTTCAAATTAAACAAATTACAAATCCCAAAGTGTTGTCTTTACTCCTCCATCATCCTACCAGCATTAAGTACCATCCCTTTTAAATCATTACACTTTGCCTAACTCTGCCATTACTGGAGTCCCTGTGGCCTTGACTAGATCAGGATTTAAAGGTGTGATGTTGAAAACAACTCCCAAACCGAAGCAGGACTATAGCCACTAAAATGGAGGTGAGATTTGGGGAGTTACGGGAGGCAAGGAAACATTCAAGGGAAGGTAGTGCTTCTTTCTCAGAGCATTTTGAAATACTTCCCCTTTACATCCAAAACATCATGACCAAAATCAATACGTGCTGCCTTTACTTCTTTGTGGCTCATGATTGGTCTCCAGGGCAGCAACAGGCCCTCAGGACTGTCACTCTGCAAATCCTGTGGCCCTCACCTCTCCTTAGTCAGAAGGAGCAGAGTCAGCTGCAGGAAGATGCCTTTGGAAGGAGGGGAGCTGCTGACAGGAGATGGATAGAGGAGCTGGTCAGACTGACCAAGTTTCCAAGTATGGAGACTCCCATTTATAACAAAAAAATTCCTGACTCCCAATTTAGTAATACTATTTCCTGCAGTGCAGGAGGGAGAGTTCAGGGCAGGCAATCCAGTGGCGCCAGAACCAGGAAGGGGGTGGATTGACACAACCCAAGGGTCCCACCTGTATGCTGTGGCTCTTCATCGTGGATAGTTCTCTGAACGCATCTGCTCAATCAAATGCGTTTTTTGATGCAGCTGCAATCAAAAAAACTAACAGAATGTTAGCAACCATTAGGAAAGGGATAGCTCTCAAGACAGAAAATATCATAATGCCACTATATAAATCCATGATACACCCATACCGTGAATATTGTGTGCCGATCTGGTTACCCCTTTTCATTAGAATTGGAAAAAGTACGGAGAAGGCAACGAAAATTATTAGAGTATGGAACAGCTTCTGTATGAGGCGAAATTAAAAAGACTGACTGTTCAGCTTACAATAGAGAAGACTAAGGGAGGATATGGTAGAGGTCTATAAAATCAAGAATGGTGTGGAGAAAGAGAAGTGTTATCTACCCCCACACACCCGTGGCCAACAGACTGTCCCCTGCATTATAGAACCACATATTTTGTTCACTTCCATTTTGATAAATGATTCCAACAAAGGAACTTTAATTGACCATGAAAAGTATTTGGTAATGTTTGAACATACTTGTCACAGTTCAGGGCAACTCCACCTGTATTTCCCCTCAGTGGTCCAGCAAGGGCATCAGGCCATCACCTCTCCTGGTGGAGAACTGTGTCTCTCTTACTTTGGACCAGGGTGTTTCCAGGCTGCACTATTCCCTACCTTCACTGTCTTATAGCCAGCACAGACAAGGACACTTGTTTGTTTTCTCTTCAGAAACAGTTAACAGGTGTAATTGCTACAGTTATAAGTACCACACAGTTTGTTCTATGACAGCCTATTTTATTTTTAAGGTAAAAACATTACTGAGAAAAAACATATTAAAAACAATAAAAGAACCTACATGTATAGATTCATAGATTCTAGGACTGGAAGGGACCTCGAGAGGTCATCGAGTCCAGTCCCCTGCCCTCATGGCAGGACCAAATACTGTCGAGACCATCCCTGATAGACATTTATCTAACCTACTCTTAAATATCTCCAGAGATGGAGATTCCACAACCTCCCTAAGCAATTTATTCCAGTGTTTAACCACCCTGACAGTTAGGAACTTTTTCCTAATGTCCAACCTAAGTAATGAACGCTGCTAATAAACTTACCAGTGTTCATTACCAGATGGGTTTTGGCAGGAGCAGTCCTTCAACCCACCCCACCCAAGGGAATCCTTGTGGTTACCAGCCCACCACAACTTCAGCTCAGAACAAGCACACTCATAAAAGGTTTATTCCACCCTTTATATAGTTCAAGGGTCTTTGAGCTGGAGTTTTCAGGAGCAGGTAAGTAGTAGACAACAAGTTTTCCTCCCCGGGGTGTAGCTTCAAAAGGGTGGATTTGAACTGGGTAGCTGGCATTCCCCAGGTAATTCCTAGGAAATCCACTTCACAGGTATTGTTCCAAAAATTCCTTTGACATTCCTGATACCTTCCATAGATTGGATTAGTTTGTCTCCTGGAGAAGCTATATACATACAATTCCACAATAATACATCACAATTGCATTTATAATATAATGGATCCCAAAGATGTTAAACTTAATTCAATACAATTCATTTAGAATATTGCAAGATGTTGTCAGTCTGTCACAATGCTTATAACCATAGCACCAAATCCTGATCCCACTGAAGTCAGTGGCAAAAAACGCCCATTGTAAGAACATAAGAATGGCCATACTGGGTCAGACCAAAGGTCCATCTAGCCCAGTACCCTGTCTTTCAACAATGGCCAATTGTCACAGAGTCACCGGGCCAGTGCTCTGGAACTACTCCATACGAAGCCAGTCAGGACTCTGGAGTAGCATGCCTCCTCTCTCTGAGCATACTGTCACCAGGGCAAAAAGCTTACACAGCTTCCTAGGTCTGACCTCGGAGCATTCAGCATTCCCTTCCACACCGTGCGCTTCCCACAGTGAGTCCACCCAGGTGGGGCTCCTGAGGAAGCCA